CAACGGTTGTTTTATAACTCACGTGTGTCCTTTTAACAAGCAATGACTACGTTTATAGTACTATCGGACAGTTGAGTAAGAAAGAACGTTCTTCAGACTTCAACTCGTCATGCGAGCGGAGTCATTATCCATTAGTTTGGGCCGATTTGGTTTTATCGATGCCATTGTGGATCGCTACCGCGAAGAAAAGGAGCCCGTCATCCGTGAAAGTCGGGTTTCAATGGGAATTTCACTTCGGCCAAATAGGAAAAATCTCCAAAATGGTACTTTCTACCGTTCACGGAAAACCTTTTCTATTCCAGGACGGAATAATCGCTCGCGTTCTCCCTTTGTCCTGCATTCACGAGATGTTCGAACTAATTTCTTTATTAGCTTTATTTAAAAATTAAAACCTTAACTCAAAAGTGTTTTATGGGAATTACTGAACCATACACCAAGTAACTTTTACATTTTCCAATTGATTACATACTTCGGAAAGCTTTATAAAAAATGCTCGGTGAAATAATAATACTGGAAACTACTGAACCAAATGACTGAATTTCTGTTACGCAAAAAAACCGCGCGTTTGAAATTCAAAACCTTTCATATTTAAAAACATCAAGTTGTAGCTGTTTTTTTTATGCCTGATATCATTACTTCATGATATGATAATCATTACCACAATAAATGTATGGGAAAATTTCTAATGTGAAAATTCCATATTGAGTGTATTTCCCCTGATGTAAGGACTTTAAATTTATGTAATTTTAACCCTTCCTTGTCCAACGTTGCCTCGGGGCAACACCAGATTTAGCAAATTTGGTCAAACAGCTATTCCCGTGTAATGGCAACACTGATTTTTTTTGCGCCAATCCACAATCTCCAACATGGCTCTTCACCCGACTGCATCTTATATAGATTGTTATAATTGCCAAACATAAAATTTTGCATATCCTTTTCTTGCCCAAAATTATTTCAGAGCTAATATTAGCAATTTTGTTTAAGGTTAGCAGGAAATCGGGAAAGCAGGAGTTTTGGGTGGTGTACTGTCTGCTCTGTTTCTCCTCGTGCATTGGCAACACTGATTTTTTTGGCGACAATTTAAACTTTCTATGATTAAACTCACGGGGTTCTCGTAAACATTTTAACAAAACTGCTAATTAATTCATATTTGCTTAGTGGTCATAATATTCTATTCATCTCAACCAAAAACCTTAAATAAAAAGAATAATTAATTGGAAACATTGCTAATGTGTTTGTTCTAAGACATTATGGTTAAAGTTTCATCCTATGTCTGCTTTTTTCTCCATTTAATTTTTTAGGTTTATCGCCAGGCGAAAGTTTTCCTCTTTTTTTTTCAAATCGTCCCACGATAAAAAATAAATTTCACGAAGTTTGACTATGAAAACGCGATTGTTTTTAGCTTCAAACTTGCACTTAAAAGGGAAAATGTATTTATTTATTTTTTAAATTTATTTGTTACCTACACATGTTCGTATACTACGATTATTGTATCATACAGCACAACTAGCTCTAATGCCAGCGCTTCACCGGTAGAGCACATGCTTTGAGGAGCCAACCACTGCTGGTACTCAATGTGTATGATAGGTGTCAAGGAGGTCCCGAGGCCACCGTCGGTTGAGGCGACATGGCGGGTTGTCAGGATGGGAATGTGTGGAGAGGGCACAAGCAGTATGGTTATGATGGTTCGAAAGGTTGGCGTGGAAGGTTTGGAATCTGGACCGGATTCGTTGGTTGACAAAAGGAATGTTGCGGTCTTTGTGGATAGTGAGGTTAGAGACATAATAAGGTGCTTGGACAATTTGTCTAATGACTTTCGATTGGAAGGACTGGATGCACGGATATTGGAAGGCAGTTCCACTCCGTCCATATTGGTCTGTGTAAAGCCTTAGCTTTGTCTTAGTTGTCAAAGTAGATTTCGGTCTTAGAAGTCTTCATAGTAGCCCAAGTCTTGTAACAAGTTGTTTTTTAAGTCTTGCGTGGGGATTCCACGTCAGTCTGCTGTCGTGATATAGTCCGAGGTATTTGACTTGAGCGGAAATTGGTATTTCTTTGTTGTTGATGTGCAATGGAGGGCAAGACTGCTTTTTCAGCGTAAAATTACACTGAGGGCATTTTTTTTCCGTTCAGTCTTGTCCTCCATTTTTTACACCAGACTTCGATAAGCTCAAGATGTTCCTGGATGTTGGAGGTAGTTTGGACAGGATTCGAGTTAGATGATAGGATTGCGGTTCCGTCTGTGTAGGTGGTGATAATAGATAATATATTGGTAGGTCAGCAGTATAAATAATATATAGGATAGGACCAAGGATACTACCTTGCGGTACACCGGGCTGTTTCTGTTTGTCTTCCGAGAAGTCATTGCCGCACCTCACTCTGTTAGGAAAGATTTCAATAAAAGGTAATATGTAATGGGTAGGAAGCGCTTAAGTTTAAAAAGTATGCCTGGTTGCTAGACCATGTCGAAAGCCTGTGGCACGTCTAAGAACTCGCCCAGGCAATACTCAAAAGGGAAAACGAAAGTTAAGAAAAGTTTACTAGAAAAAATATTGTTTACAAAGATATACTCCTGGAAGAAAAGTGAGTCTATATTAGGAAATGTGATAAAGTGTTACACGTAATTTGTCAGGATGATAAAACCAATCGGGCTTCAAGAATTCACAAACCATCCAACATAAAGCGCTGCCTGGTCGCAAAACAATTTCACAAACCATAAATTCCGTATTGTAATGGGTTTCCGATTCGCCAAGGTAGGGTGGTTTCAAAATTTTATATTTTCATTTTATAAGCGTGGATAACTGGTTTACTTTATTACTTGAGTGGCTTTATATTCAAAGCCCTGGGTTTTGTAATTTTTGTGTACCCTGGGAAACGGAATACTCCCACATTCTAATTGTAATTTCCGTCATATGTCGGCCGGAACGACGTGAGAAACACCTGCTGCCTCTGCGGTTCTCGTACAATGGATGTCCCAACCGTCTTTTCTTGTATATCGAATGCTATGTCGGCGTCCGAAACCGCCGAAAGACAACGGTGAGGAAATATTCTTTCGTTCTCAAAATATGCACGAGTGCCGTTTCGTTATAATTCATTATTCATAGCATTCAACAAGCCAAGTTGAGTCTTTCTGTCCCAAAGGTATTTGAACTCTTTTTGTTTGTTTGTCTGTGTGGCTCTCTCTCTCTCTCTCTCTCTCTCTCTCTCTCTCTCTCTTTCTTTCTCTCTTTCTTTCTCTCTCTGCGTCTATCGATCTATCTATCTCTGTCGCTTTCGTTGAATCCTTGCGTTCTCTCTCATTCTCCTTTTTTCTTGTTTTGTGTATCTCTCTACTGTGTGAGGTTGGAAGAAAACCAACGTTTTTCCGGCGGCCGGTTTCGACTTTATTCATCATCTTCTGGCCTACAATGAGGAGAACAGTTAATTAAGACTATGTTAGTAATTGTAACTCAATGCTAGTTGTCATAGGTTCTTTCTCATTTTACAAAACCCGGACGGCAGTTGAATGAAATGGAATGAGGTATAGCGGAAGAATGAGAAAAGAACGAGATACAGACAGAACTCTAAACAGACAATCAGAAAGTGACAGGTAGGAGTCACAAAGTAGACAAAAAGAGGTCTTGAGAGGGAGAAAGAAAAGAGGGAAAGAGATAGAGGTAACAAAGAGTAAGAGACTGGCCAGCGGACGCCAGACAGTAAGTATTATATACATTATATATATATATATAATATATATATATTTTTTTAAAATTTTTTTTTAATTCTCTTTGTCTTTGATGTCCTCACTTGCTCAATTCCTATCTTTCTGGTTTTCACTTTCATTCACTTTTCTATTCCTTTTTCGTATTGTTATATGGTTTGATAGATAGACGATTGGTTCGTCATATATATAAATCTTCGATCTATCAAACCGTATAACAATACGAAAACAATGAGGAATTGAGCAAGTGGGGACATCAAAGACAAAAAGAATGACATATATGAAGAAGATATAAGAATGATATCAGTGAGTGAGAGTCCGGGGGCACAAAGTAGATAATATATGTATATATATATATATATAAATATACATACATATTACTAACTGTCTGGCGTCTGCTGGTCTGTCTCTTACTCTTTGTTACCTCTTTTTGTCTACTTTGTGCCCCCAAACTCTCACTCACTGATTGTCTGGTTAGATGTCGGTCCGTATCTGGTTCTTTTCTCATTCTTCCGCTATCCCTAATTTCTTTCAAGTGCTATCATTTCGTCTTACGAGCTGTCTATATTTTGCTGTCATAATCTAATCGCATGGCAAGACAATAATTTTGGCACCTTCTGAAAAATGAGAGTGTGGTGAATGAGTGTTTTTTCTTTGTTTCAAAATAATATCTAAAACATATAAGCACGCAGGGGAAAAATGTTAAAATTTTAAACCATATTTCGATGTAAACCGTTGTTTTTCTTTATTCGTTGACGGGCTATAGAATCATTGAGTCAATTTCTAAAGGGTTTTTTTGGTTAAACATAAACACTGACATTTGGAAAATGGCAAAAAGGAGGGAAAATTCGAAAGGTAGGTTGAGACGGTGAGTTGGCGTCCGAGTGGATCGAAGTCACGATAGCTCAAGTGGGACGTATTGAGCCGAAGGTCGTGGGTTCGAATCCCGCTCGTGACACTAGCTTTTTCATTTCAACTAATACCTTACATAAAATATTAATTAATTGTTTAAAATATATTTTTTCAAGAGAGAGCTGTGATGTTCGGCATGGTCTTATTATGAGACAATTACGTATAAATTTGGACTGTTTTCAGCAGAATCTAGAAATAGGTTTTCGTCGTCGCATTTTTGCCCCAATGCCAGATACACTCAACCTCAATATTTTCTATCTATAAATCCATTCATTTATTAAAACAATGTTTGTTAAATCGGCTGATAATAAACACGAAGACTGTTAAACACGCGTGTAAGCTTTAAAAAAATGTGTAAAAGTTTATTGATTGAAATGTCTTTTTGTTTCAGATATTCAGGATACGAGTGGAAACGAAGTCACCAAAGAGAAAAAAGGTAAGGCAATATATGTTTTTTAAAAAAATATTCTCGATCGCACGAACTCTATTGTGATACGGAATAAAAGGACAGCCTGGAAATACGCTGGAGTGGCGAAAAATATAGTTTTTAGGCTGTCCTTGGTACATCAAGGTTGAGGTTATGCAACGACGAACACAAACCTTTTAAAATGACGTATTTATTATTGGATTAATTTACTGTATTCTATTCGCATAGTGGAACAATTTACAATTATTCTAGCTTAGTTATACTTAAAAAAAGCAGATAATTGCTATTGGGCATAGAACAAGCTGACTTTAATTGTCCTTTGTGTTTTTTTAATTGTATTATGTCTTCTGTTTCTCTTGCTGACAAATTAAATAGAATATAAAATATTTAAATATAATTTCTATTCATAAGCAAATTGTTTTCATTAACTTGCCTTTGCTTCTTTATTGTTACAAACAAGTGTTTTTCAAGAATAGGCTTTTTAAAAAATCGTATCGTACGATAAAAAAAAAGCAGAACGAAGCAATTTTTAGATAAACGCCTTCCATTTGGCTTATCTGTGGCGGTTTGGGGGGGCCTGTTCTTTTCCAGGGCGGAAAGCACTAAAAGCACATCTCGGCTGTCTAAGCATGACACAGCTAAATGTAGAAGGCAAGAAGCGGAATAAGTCCCAGGCCGTTTTTGTAAGGATTTAAAGCCGGTTTATATTTTCCATTTTCGTCTGGAAAATTTGAACACCCTGGAAATAAAATCGCAACGATTCTTAAAACATTTAAGTCCCAATGTGCTTTCGTCATATAGAATTTTGGAAGATAAAAGAGATCAGGTTTTAAATGATGTTCTTAACTTACCGTCTTTGATGAAAGAATTTTTAAAAAATGTGACATATTTTTTATTTTCCAAGTAAAAGCAATGCGGATCTTCCAATTCATTCCAAAGTTCACAACTTCTTCAAGTTTCACTTATAACAAATAATTATAAATATTTTTTTATTATTTAAACTGTTTTGTAAAATCAAAACGGAATTTTAAAAAGAAACGAATTAACCTGGAAAGTTTTGTCTTAACGGTTCCTAACGGTTGGACGTGTCCCAGATAAATTTTCAAAAATAGTTTGACGCATCGCGACGACCGGTGAGGGCCTAATTGAACCTGTCTGGAATATTTACTTAACATTCGTACCACAATAGATGAACGGATAAATTAAATATTATGCACAACGACCAACTTATGACCCTAATTGAAAATGGCCCACGTTATATGATGCTAGTCGTCATTTTTTCTTGCTCATTTTACAAAAACCCGAATAACAATTGTTTAAAAAAATTCTGTTACTTTCAAAGCATGTTTTTCATGGAAAATATTTCATGGATTGACTATGTGCTCAGTTACTTCCAGACTTCTAATTTATAATGAAAACTTTATAAAGATTCATACTAAATTGTGTTTTGTCTTATTTGTCCTACCTAGGAAAAGAATTGCATCATACAGCGTGTGAGACTTACAAAGAGACATTACTTTATTTCTCTTGTAAACCGTAATTAATTAATAATTAAGTTCTATTTAGTGATAGGTTTAATCAAAAGAAAATTGTAGATACGACGTAATTAATAAATATTCCATTTTTCCCTTGGCATTTAACATTAACATATTTTTTTTTTCATAGAATGCACAAAGAGAAGGATCTATGAATATTTAACCACTAGGTAAAACAAGGTAAAACATATTTGTTGATAACAGGGAATACAAATGAATAGGATCAGTTCATCGTCGGCCAACAAATTATAGCCTGCATTGTCTAGCCACAGGCTTTTAGCACAAATTAAACAAATAGCTTAGTTTTTTAAAGTTTATAATATTGGCAAAATGTCATTTATTGATCTCGCGAACCAGTTCCTTGGATCGGGCGAGTCAATTCAGGGGTCAGTAGCCTCTTGGCACGGTTTGCGACCAAAATTTAACAGAGCGTGTAAAGTCTGTAATGGAATAGTTTTTAACCGAGTGCTTGTTTTCGAAAGCACCCTGGTTGAAAAAAAAATCTGTGGTCCGTACGGCCATCCTTCGCCTCCTTTGCAAACCGCTTTAATAAAGGCTTACATCAAAAATTAAAAAAAAAAACCGGAGTTTTTTAAATTATTTTTTTATTATTTAAGAATTGTTATAATCAAAAACATCTTCTAAGCTAAAGATGATGGTGGATCTCTTGCACGGACGAGAAGTCTGTCACAGATAATCAGTAATGACTAATGACAAACGTCCACCATCCAAACAATCCAAACAAATTTTTCTATTTTTATTTTTTCTCTAGTTTAGCACAACCTGGTGATGATTTTAACTAACATTTAATACCTCAGTGATTTATGTTCAGTTTTATTGTTACCATTGAAAAATTTTGTAGTCCGCACGGCCATCCTTCGCCTCCTTCGCAAACCGCTTTAATAAACTTACATCAAAAATTTAAACAAAATTTTAAAAAAGCCCAGTTTTTAAAGTATTTTTTAAAAATTAGTTTAAAATTTAAAAAGATAAATCCCGGTTTTTAAAAATTATTTTTTATTATTTAAAAATTGTTATAATCAAAAACATCTTCTACGCATCAAAAGATTATGGTGGAACTCTTCCAAGGAGGAGAAGTCGGACACAGATAATCAGTAGAGACTAATGACAAAAGTCCACCTTATAAACAATTAAATTCAGTAGTTTCGTGGTCCGCTTGACCAATTAATATCTTACAATTAATTAAGGTTTTTAGTTGAGATAAAAAAGTCAATGGCACGAGCGGGATTCGAACCCATGATCTTCGGCTTGGTACGCCGCTGCTCTACCACTTGAGCTATCGTGACCTCGATCCACTCGGACACTAACTTCCATCTCAACCTCACCTTTTGAATTTTCCCTCCTTTTTGCCATTTTTCAAATGTCGTGTAATCGGATTGGATTTGAAAAATGGCAAAAAGGAGGGAAAATTCAAAAGGTGAGGTTGAGATGGAAAGTTAGTGTCCGAGTGGATCGAGGTCACGATAGCTCAAGTGGTAGAGCAGCGGCGTATCTAGCCGAAGATCGTGGGTTCGAATCCCGCTCGTGCCATTNAGGCAAAACCCGGGTTTTTAAAATTATTTTTTATTATTTAAAAATTGTTATAATCAAAAACGTCTTCTACGCATCAAAAGATTATGGTGGAACTCTTCCAAGGAGGAGAAGTCGGTCACAGATAATCAGTAATGACTAATGACAAAAGTCCACCTTATGAACAATATAAATAAATTCTTTATTATTATTTTTTTCTCTCGTTTACCACAACCTAGTGATGATTTTAACGAAAATTTGATACCTCAGTGATTTATGTTCAGTTTTATTGTTACCATTGAAAAATTTTGTAGTCCGCACGGCCATCCTTCGCCTCTTTTGCAAACCGCTTTAGTAAAGACTTACACACAAAAAATTGAAAAAAATCCCTGGTTTTAAAATTATTTTTTATTATTTAAAAATTGTTATAATCAAAAACGTCTTCTACGCATCAAAACGATTATGATGGAACTCTTCCAAGGACGAGAAGGCGGTCACTAATAATCAGTAATGACTAATGACCACCATCCAAACAATCCAAACAAATTCTTCTGTTTTTATCTTTTTTCTCTAGCACAACCTGGTAATGATTTTAATTCAAATTTAATACCTTAGTTATTTATGTTCAGTTTTATTATTGCCATTAAAAACATAAACTGTAAGAAAAGCTGATGATTTTATTTTTATTCTACTACCAACTTATTAAAGCCCTCGATTATTATTGAACGCCCGTATGTATTCATTTATAAATGTTTTATAAACATGGATTTATCCTTGTAAAGCTTAGTAATGCTCGTATCGGGATTATAGCAGCCTTGGGAAGAAAACAAATCTGTAATCCATTCTGTGAGATTAACAGTTCAGTTGACCACAGATGAAAATTTCCTTTCTTTAAAAAAAAGCAAGAAAAAAATGGTTCGAATCAGCCTAGGTGAGTGTCGTTACTTAATAAACTTAAACAATTGGCTTTTTTTTCAAGTCCCTTCTGTATTTTTCGAGCGATGAGTTGATGAATTGGATGATAGCCGGAAAAATATAACTATATTTACATAAATAATTTGTTAATTTATCTTTTCCAAGATACAATTTTACCTTTTAATTTATTTGTCTATATATAAGTAATCTAAAATATCTTAAATATTTAAATTCCTTGTTTACATATCAGTATTAACAAATTGCTTATTGAAAAGTTTTACAAAGCTTTCTTTATTGATAGATTTTTTCGTATTTTAATAATTTAAACTGCCGGTAGGGTCATTGATACTGTGTTTTTCGGTATCTATAATGATATTATTTCTATTATTTTGTCAGTGATTTGTTCAGGCTCGGTTGCGTGACTAAGCACGTCGGTTTTCGTATCTTTTATTCCGGTAATGACCGGCGAAAGTGGATTTGTCGACTTTTCTAATCAAATTGCTAAAATTGTTGTTCATTAAGGGCCGAAAAGATTGGAAAATAGGATTTGGTCTTCGTCCCTTTTTTGGTATTTTGTCGGAGAAAAATTAAAGTCAGTGTGATTTTCGATTAATTAGATTTTATTCTATAGTATATAGATTTTATTATAGTGTTTCTAGTGTATTCTAGGTGAAAATATCGTGAATATATCGGTATGATTTTCAAATTAATCGTCTTATGAACAGTCACAAACGCCATAAATTCATTGAATCTTTAACGGTTTATTTTTTCTAAAAATATATTTTTTGCTTTCTTTGTGCTCCAATCCAATTTGAGCTTAATCTTCTATAAAGTAAAGTCTGTCCTGATTCAGTTATTTTTTTAGTTTTATTGATAAATTTCTCTATATTCAGTGGCGTTTCACAACAAACTACGAAGTTTTGACCATTTTTCTCCAATTTTAACTTTAACCTTTAACAAATTCTCAATATTCCCTTAACTTATTAACTTACTAAATTGGAAATATCATAATTACACTTTTTTTTTTCA